TAAATATATTTACACATTTTAGAACATGTGCAAGGGGCCGGCCCCATGGCTTAGTGGTTAAGTGCGCGTGCTCCCCTACTGGCGGCCCGGGTTCAGAGCCCGGGCACACACCAACACACCACTTGTCCGGCCATGCTGAGGCAGCGTCCCACATACAGCAACTAGAAGGATGTGCAACAATGACATACAACTATCTACTGGGGCTTTGGGGAAAAAAAAGGAGGAGGATTGGCAATAGATGTTAGCTCAGAGCCGGTCTTCCTCAGCTAAAAAAAGAGGAGGATTAGCATGGATGTTAGCTCAGGGCCGATCTTCCTCACAAAAAATAAAAAACAAATAGAACACGTGCAAAAGGAAGATTGAAGTCATCAAAGCATTCATACATGCCAGTGATTCTCCCACTGATAACAGTTACTACAACATGCACGGTGTCTTTTCATTCTGAAGTTGACTTTCCACACAAGAGCATCTGACGTGAGAATAGCTACAAGGCGTTTTGAATATTTAAAATAATCAACCATTTGTTGGAAAATGAAAATCTCTTTATATTTAAATATCTTGCTCCACTTGGCAAGTGGGCAGTCAGCTGTGCTGAGGGGTCGAGCCATGCCAGGGGAGGTGCTTCTAACTGCTGATGCGTGTGTTGCTGAGTCTGAAGGGCAGTGAGTTCCTGTGACCCAGTAGCCAGAAAACTCTGCTCTGGGGTTACTTTCTCCGGCAGCACTATTAGTTACATCACGCACTGTTGTTAAATCTTGGGCATATAAACATCCCCACCTAGTCCTACATCTGTCTCCAGATGGATTCCCCTGGGCATCTCGTGTTCTGGTGATAGTGGACCAGAAGCTCCCTCTGGTGCTCCTCTCTTGTTGGAGACTGCCCTGCCTGTCCAGCACTGCCGCATCCTTTTCTCATCACAGGGAGTGAACTCTGTGACCCATGGACAGGAAACGTGACCTCCGTCTGTGTGATTGTCCCCGTGATCACATGAGAACGTGAGTGGGTGCGTCCATTGGTGCACAGGACTGTCCTGTCAATTGGACCTCATTTGATTCGTCATGCATGCTGGTCCGTTAGTCTTTGTTCAGTTTGCTTCCTGTTCCCCCATAAAATAGACTTTATAATCTGCGTTAAGGAAAATGAAGGCAGAGTCTCTTCCCACAGCATGCTTTGCTAGAATATTCCGAGGAGGAACACCTGCTCTCCCCTTATAAACTTACCCCCACAGAAACCAGAGTCTTTGGTCAAGTTCCTCCTGGTCTCTGCTCCATCCTTATATCTGTTTGCAAACCGCATCTTTACTTGCTGCCACAATGAAATATGTGCTTGCTTCCTTCTTCTCTTTGTTTGCTTTTCTTCTCTTCCTCTCCTCCCTCTTCCCCATTTTAAAAATTTAATTCCCTGAAATCCTGAGACAGAAGAATCAGAGCTGTCGGGAGAATTAAGACAAGTCGGAGCTGGTTTCGGCGTGTGTGGTGAGGGAGGGGCTTGCTTGGGTAAACCCTTCATGTTCATGCTTTTCCTCTCCCCCCATTCCTTTCACTCTTGCCTTCATATGTCATACCTGTAGCTTGATCTGGGGTAAAAAACAGACAAAACAACAGGGTAGAGCCCTTGGAAAGCAGCTGCTTTGGAGGATTCTTGGCTGCCAGAGTCCCTGAGTCTCTTCGGGTACTTTTCCACCGAGCCTGTGCTTGCAAAGTGTGTCATCTGTTGGTCACATTTCTGTGCCTGTACAGTGCGAGGGCCTTGTTTTCTCTTCCTTATAACGAGGCACTTTGCCTGAGTCAGGAAGGCAAGCAAGCGGCCAAGAGCATGCGTCCCAGTGCCCTTAGAAGGCAGGGCTGCAGAGCCTGCGGGTGTGGACGGGAGGGCAGGAGTGGGACAGTTGACTGGCTGAAAGTCAGAGTGGATTCTAAACCAATTCGTAAACGACACCTGCTGAGAATTGAAAGTGAAGGCAGAAAGATGGCATTATTGGGGGTTCCTTCCTGGCATGACAGATTCATCAAAACACAGAGTTTTTAATATAAACAAAACAATCACCAGGCTCCAATATTGAAAGCATGTTGAAGTTATAGTTTCAGATCCTGTGACATATGTGCCTCAAATTCAGAATTAGTAAGATATGAATTAGTGACACTTTATTGCTCTTTGATGAGACACATTTAAGGAGCTACACTCGAAGAGTGTGGGCTTTGATTTGACTTGTCGAATCTCTGGTTTAAAAACAGAAAGGTGCCTTTATTCTCAGAATCGGGTGCCTAACCATTGTTCTGGGGCATCAGCGCTGCGCTGGAGGCGCTGACTGGATGCTCTCTCCTGATCTCTTCTGGACTGAGTCTTTACGGGGAGGACATCATGTTGATGCCTTTTAGTTCATTTGTCAAAACCTCCATTCAAAGCAAGGAGTCTCTTCTGGCTATTACTTGAAAACTGCATGCTTAATTGGCTTCCCTGGCTCTTCGGGAATTAGCCTGCTAACCTGAGCCCCTGGTGCCTACCGCTTCCTGACCACCCGCTCTCCGTCTTGCTTAATTCCCACTTAAACAGCCAAATCCAGTAGCCTTCCTTATCAGTTTATTGATGTGAGGAAGAAACACCTAATTATCAGAGTGCCCTTGAGAAACTGGCCAGTGTGGGGCGGGCATGGGGGGTCGGGGGTTCTGGGCTGCAGTAACCAGCACATTCCATCTGCAAAACCACTCCTGCCTCTGTGAGAAGAACAGAAGCTCCTGCCTCTCTGCTTCATGCAAGAGAAACCCCAAGCCAGTGGGTGCTCTGGTGAGCTAGGAATATATTGCAGTACGTAACTTTTCTCCTTTTATTCTCAGAAACTCAGTTCTTAAAATTCTAATCCTTACTTCTTTAGTGGCCTTCATCCTCCAGAGTGGAGCATGCTGGGAGCTGATGAAATTTAACGTCTCTCTGTGGATGCATTACCCTAAATGTCACACTAATCAGTTTTTCTGGGTATTGATCTAGGAAGCCCAGTTACCATTATGACCATATTCCATGGGTCACCCTCTCCAAGAATAAGAGTATTTATAATTAGTATGTCACTCTCCAGTTTTCAAATCGCTTTTACATATGTTATGTATTTAATCTTTGATTCTGCTAATTGAGCACAGATTTCTTCAGCTTTGCTGGGGTCCCACAGGTAGCAAGAGGGCGACCTGCCCAGGAAACCTAGTTCTTCGTTCCAAGTCCTGCCCCTTGTCCTCTCCTCCATGCAAATACAAACCTTTTCCTCAGCACTGTGGGCCTGCAACCTCCCCAGATGTTATCCTCAGCCCCGGAACGTGCAAGGCACGATCATTTAAGTCCCTTGAAGAACCAGCAATGGCAGAAATGCCCCCCAAATCGGCCAGCCTGGTATGAAGGCAGGGCTTCTGGTAATACTCATGGCTGCCTCAGAGGCAGTTCCTTTCCCCCAGGATCCCCATGACTCCTCACTTCTGCAACCACCTGTAAGCCCCTTCCACTCGGGTGCCTGTCCCCCTGTCCCCCAGGGCCCTGTCTTCCATGCTCTAGAGCACCCTCCACCGCTGCAGCCTTGGGTTCCCGCCCAGTTCATGTATAACTTCTAATCTAGAGGTTCGGCTTGGATCATGCTCTGCACCTCACATTGTGTACGTCCTTCTTCCTCCTATAGCTCTGCTTGGGTGTCTCAGAGGTGCCTCAAGTGCAGTGTACTACAGATTGAACTCCTCATCCTCTGCAGTCCCCCGTAAAACAGCACCCCACCTCTTGAGTGGTCTCGCCCAGCCCCTTCCGCCCAGATCCTGCCAAAACAGTCTCCTCTTCTCTCCGGGATCATCCCTGTTCCCCTCTGTCTTTGCTGCACGTGCCTCCCCACTTCTGGTCCGGCCCTTCTGACTCACCCCCCCCTTGCAGTTCCAGCATGACTTCCGGACCAGTGGTCCGAGTGCCTTCACCCTCCCAGGTTTCAGCCCCTGCAGGCCTCTTCAAGGCCTGCTCAATGCAACATTCGAAGCCCCGTGCCATCTGCCTCCCCCAGCCCTCCCCTTCACCTCTGTTACCCCCATCTGTCCTTCCTCCATGGATAATTCCAGCTGCTCTTCAGCTTAGATGTCTTCTCCAGAAAGCGTGCAACCCCCTCTCCTCTCGCCCAAGCCCCAGGTGTCTCCTCACCAAGTGCTGTAACTGCTGACTCAGTAGCCTCCTCCTCAGCTGTGAGCAGGGCACAGGTTGTATCTCTGTCTCCAGGACCGAGCCAATGCTTAGCACCTAGTAGGTCCTCAAAAACGTGTGAGGAGCAGATGAACACAGAGACGTGATGGTGCTTACAAGGGCAGCATGATTGAAGAGTTGGAAAGAACTGCATACCTGACGGCTCATTTAGCATTTAAAATTTAAATTCCCACCCTAGAGCTATTCCTTTGGAGTAAGGAGTTGGGCCTCTAGGAAGCACCTGTTAAAATATAACTGTGTGACACAAGTAATTTGTAATTATTCACAGATTATTGTTTTTCAGTATTTTGTAAGTCCAAGCAAAATCCCAAGAAAAGCCTCAGCAGGGGCTGAGATCTGCAGAAACCAGGGATGGTTTCAAGCATTGGGCACGTCCCAGCTGGGAAGGCAAGAGGACAGGAATGGGCCTCAGGAGGACGTGGGAAGGGAAGATGTGAGTGGAGGCCGCAGGGGTGAGGATGGCCCTCCAAAGGAGCCGGCCCAGCAGCCAGGGCACCGCCACCCATCAGTACCCAGAAGGTGTTTTCAGAGAATGTCTTGAAGCAGCTGCACTTCTGAGAATGTGCAAGATGCCAGCCCTTTTCCCACAGCCAGGGAAAATGGGTCTGCAAGCAGCCATTCTAGCTGTTTTTTCAAATGAAAATTGGACTTGAGAGGAGAAAATGATTAAGGCATAAAATATTCATTGCATATTCATTTGTTCATGCAGCACAAGAAGCAAAAAGAAACCCTTCCAGGTAACTGCACTCACTGTTCCTCCTTTTGTGTCTCTTTTTTCTCTCCAGTCATGCCAAGCTGACCTGGTGAAGGACAACGGTCACAAATATTTCCTTTCGGTCTTGGCAGACCCTTACATGCCAGTAAGGACTAAACATCATTTCTCTTTTGGACAGTCTCAAAATCTGTATCATTTGTCTCTGCTCACATGTTATGCTATTGTGATGCCTTTTACGAGGGCTCCAGAGAAGGTTGCTCCTCACTGCTCACCCATCCAAGTGGAGGGGGCCACGGCGGGGGTGTGGGCCAAGCTGTGGGAGGCCACGTTTATACTTTCAGCTACTGCTCTTTGCTTAATAGCATATTATTTCAGTAGCTGTTTCATGTCTGTCTCTAAATCAGAGTTATAGTTAACCTTGACGTACAAGTTGGTTTGGTTTTGTTTATGTTAGTCTATTTTCCCTGGAGCATCTTTGCAATATAGTAGAATCCACTCTCCCTTGCATGCTGTCAACTGAATTAGATTAATGAGTGCTTGTACGTCTGGTATATGTCAGTTCATGTGCCTAGAGAAGGTTCTGGAACATGACAAGATGCTCATGTGCCTTATGAATCCAGATAGAAGGGAGAGAAGGAAAGAAGAGATTGAAAGTTTAAACTTTAAATATATTTTATTATATTAAATTGCTTTAAAATTCATAATCTATGAATAGCATTATAGTAATTCCTGTAAATGTTTTATTTTTATTTTTTTTATTTTTTTATTTTTTTTTTGTGAGGCGATCAGCCCTGTGCTAACATCTGCCAATCCTCCTCTTCTTGCCGAGGAAGACTGGCCCTGGGCTAACATCCGTGCCCATCTTCCTCCACTTTATACGGGATGCCGCCACAGCGTGGCTTGACAAGTAGTGTGTCTGTGCATGCCCAGGCTCTGAACCGGCGAACCCTGGGCCGCCACAGTGCAGCACATGCACTCAACTGCTTGCGCCACCGGGCCAGCCCCTATAAATGTTTTATAATTAATTTCTGTATTCCCTACTTCCACCTCCTAGCATAGTAAAGACAACAAAGTACACATCCTAAATAATTACTTAATATTACCAGAATATTTAATTAAGTATAACAGCTCATTTACATAGTGTTAGGTGGCTTTGGTTGTATAAAGGAATTTTTGTATGTGATTTCACCCTCTAGTTGATTTTCTAAACTAAATGATGATAACAACAACAAAAACAGAAAACATTAAAAACAGCTTTGTTATATAAAAGGTAAATAGTTAAAACTTAGGAGTTTTAACTTAAGTATGGTATTTAAACATCATCATAGGCAGTTAAAGTTTATACTTTATATGAGTTTTAGAAATAATCACTTCCCTGTTCTTCAGGGTAAGAATACAAATCAAACGAATGAAAAATGCCAAACTGATAAAATACAGTAAAATGCTGAGCTGAGCTGACATGAATGGGCCCCACTTCAACTATAGACGCATTGGAGTTTGGAGGACTTAGCCAAATTTGGAAGAAAGAAGAGGAAATCCCCAAATGCCAAAACCTGAAGAGAGAAATCAGCAGAGAACCACAGTGGGAAACAAGCACTGGGGTTCCATGTGGCACACAGACCCCAAGTCTGCCCAGAGGACGGGCGCCTGAGAGGCAGCATCTGGGAAGCTGACACCTCTGCTGGAAGCCAGGAGCCCATGAGGCGCACCCGGCCCCACTTGTTAACAGAAGCCAAAAACAGCTGCTCCCGTCGTCCACGTCTGGGCAGAAGGTTAAAAGAAAGGCCTCCATGAGAAATTGAAACCTCCCCATCCCACATGTGGAGTAGGGTCTGCGGTTACACTCGTCCCTTGGGTGAGAGCCACCAGCAAAGAAGTGCATGTAACACTCGTTCAGGGTCATTGAAATCTCCAGGGGCCTAGAAGAGGCAAAGGCGACACCCTTCTGCAGGGACGCTTACACAACCCAGGCACAAGAGACGCATGCAAGAAACACAAGCCTGCTCCTTCCTACTCAGGTGAGCCAGCCTGAAGCAGGACAAGCAGGGTCGGCACAGAGGAGAATTAGCACTTGAGAACTGAAACTAATAGAATTCTCTGAAAAAGCCTATAAAAGCAATACAAACAAGTATGCTTAAAATGATTGAATAAAACGATTTGTTTTAAGTATGTCCAAAAATAAACCATTGTGTTTTTTCTTCAGAAGTACTTTTGCACCTATTGTAGGAAGACAGTGTATGCTCTCCTTTTTACTCACCCTCAAAAGTGACCAACTAGATTCTTTTAATAAATAGGCAGATTTAGGGGGGAGAAAAAGAACCTGTAATGGAAGACATGATTGCTGCCCTTAAAAGCTCCACAGATGAATCGAACAGCAGAGTAGACACAGGCAGTGAGAGACTTGGTGAAGAAGTCGCCTGGGATGAAGCAAATGGGAGATACGAAGGGGAGGCTCGCTATACCCAACAGGATGAAAGAGCAGAGGGACTAGGGGAGCAATATTCAAACAGGTCGTGGCTGAGAACTTTCCAGATTTGAAGAAAGAGATGAGTTTTCAGATTTAAAAAGCACAGTGAATCTTGATCAAGTTAAATAAAAACAAATCCACACCCAGACTCCTTGTGATGAAAGTAGAGCAGGTCAGAGGCCGAGGGGAGAATCTAAAAGTAACCAAAACAAAAGGAAAGATTATTTTCAAAGAGGAACAACAACTACACAGGCAGCAGACTTTTCCTCAGCAGTGACAGAGGACAGAGGACAGTGGAGAGACCTTGAGAGCGCTGAAGGAAACTGACGGTCACCCTGGAACTCTGTGCCAGCTAAGTGTCCTTCAGGAGTGAGGGTGAAGCCAGCACGTTGCAGAGACTGACAGCTGACCATGTTCTGACCACACCCAAGAGAGCTGTGAAGACTGTATTTCAGGAGGAAATTGAAGCCCCAGGGAAAAGTAGGATGCAGGAAGCAGCAAAAAGCTAAGAAACTGGCAAATGTGTTGGTATATCTAAATAAGCATTGGCTGTAAAAATAAATCCTAATAATCACTAATTTGAGAAGTTAAGACTTGAGGAGGAATGTCAAAAGTAAGGCACCCTAAGAGTCTTTCATTCATCCAAGTGAGATAGAATAATTAACTTTAGACTTTGGTCATTGTGGGTGTTAAAACATGAGGCACCATTAAACAGTTCGAAACAGACTGATTTCCAAGTCAGTAAAGGCACAGAGGAAAGGAAAGAATGCAAATTGATCCCTCCTCTAGAAGACCAGAAAGAAAAAAAGGAAGCAAAGTTAGGACGCAATAGTCATTCATTTTACTACCAATATGCTTGACTAGGGGCAGTCTGCTTCCATAGACTTGGGCAGGAGTGAGGGGTGATTGGTCAGGGACCTTCCTGTTAACAGCACGGCCTTGTGAGAGGAAAATCGTAGCAGACTCGCACCTGTACTGTAGCATGAGTACTCAAGGAACAATCTGTCCTCTGAGAGGCCAGCCCAAAGCTGTCAGACCCTCTAAAAAAGGCTATTCTGAGGAGGATTGGCAATAGACGTTAGCTCAGAGCCGGTCTTCCTGAGCAAAAAGAGGAGGATTAGCATGGATGTTAGCTCAAGGCTGATCTTCCTCACAAAAATTAATTAATTAATTAATTTAATTAAATAAAAATAATAAAAAAGATCTAAGCTCTAAAAAAAAAAGGCTATTTTTTGTAGACTCAAATCAAAAGACAGTAAAGCAGGTTCTCGTTACTTTAATCGTGCATCAAGCTCATCATAAAGATTTTTATTTTTTTTTTTATTTTATTTTATTTTTTTCTTTCATTATTATTTTTTTTTTTTAATTTTTTGTTTATTGCAGTAACATTGGTTTATAACATTGTAAAAATTTCAGGTGTACATCATTGTACTTCTATTTCTGCATAGATTACATCATGTTCACCACCCAAATACTAATTACAACCCATCACCACACACATGTACCAAATTATCCCTTTCACCCTCCTCCCTCCTCCCTTCCCCTCTGGTAACCACCAATCCAATCTCTGTCCCTATGTGTTTGTTTATTGTTGTTATTATCTACTACTTAATGAAGGAAATCATACGGTATTTGACCTTCTCCCTCTGACTTATTTCACTTTGCATTATACCCTCAATGTCCATCCACGATGTCACAAATGGCTGGATTTCATCATTTCTTATGGCTGAGTAGTATTCCATTGTGTACATATACCACAGCTTCTTATCATAAAGATTTTTAAAGGATAACTTCGTTGTGCTTGGGAATGATGAGTTTCCCTCATGGGGAAAATGTAAAACCAGGGGTGATATTTGTTTTCCAGGCTGAACATAGGACCATGACGGCTTTCATTCTCGCTGTGATTGTCAACAGCTATAATACTGGCCAGGTGAGTGTCCTGGCTGCTTCGCCACTCCTCCAGAGCTTCCCTCTGGCATTCAGAGGCGCAGCACCAAGCTACCATATTTGGGGATCAGAGGAATTGTTGTTCTGAATGTCTGAATGTCTGAGGAAACAGTCAACCTCAGATGGGTGGGGGGGTTACCGGAGCACACCAGCTCCCAGGGGACACCACGGGAGGAGTGGGGACCTGGACCCTTCACTTAGCTAGCCATTTGCAGGGTAAACTGAAATTGGTGGGATTTAAAATGAGGGAAATTGAGCAAATCTTGCAATGTGATTAAGCAGGGTTTCCCCACGAAATGTTGGGGGCTGTGATCCCAACCCAGCACCCCTCCCCAGGTGCCCAGGGTCGGCAGGAGATCCACTGCGTGTTGTCTGCCTTCTCGTAGGAAGCCTGCCTCCAGGGAAACTTGATTGCCATCTGCCTAGAGCAGCTCAACGACCCCCACCCCTTGCTGCGCCAATGGGTGGCCATCTGCTTAGGACGGATCTGGCAGAACTTTGACTCGGCTAGGTGGTGTGGAGTGAGGGACAGTGCTCACGAGAAACTCTGCAGCCTCCTCTCCGACCCCATTCCTGAGGTGAGTCCGTCCCCACCCAGTGGCTTCAGGCTAAGTGAGGTCGAGGTGCCAGCAGTCCTGCCTGGAAGCTGTGTATGGAGGGCCAGCGTGGAGACAGCATCTCCAACAGAGGCCTGCTCGTGCTCATGTGCTGCCTTGCATCAAGAAACCATCCACCTCCACAGCCCGTCCCAGCCCAGCCTTGTCCCCCAAACCCCCATCTCACTCACTGATGGATTACGGGTGCCTCATTTGATCTTTTGATTCCAGAACTTCCCACCTCTACAACTTGTCACCAGCCCCTCGAGTTGGGACCTTGAGGATTCCTCCTTTTGTCTATTCCCCCATTTCTGCTCTGTCAATACAAGTAGAACTGGGCTTCAAGGACTGTGTAATGAGCACTCATGGAATTGAATTGAACCGAACTGAATTGGATTACCTCGAGGGCGGCCCTGGCAGAATTCAGATCCAAACAACCAGCAGTGGGCATGACTGTGACCCCATCCCCGTCTTGCAGGTGCGCTGTGCAGCGGTCTTCGCCCTCGGCACGTTTGTGGGCAACTCTGCAGAGAGGACCGACCACTCGACCACCATTGACCACAATGTGGCCATGATGCTGGCCCAGCTAATCAACGACGGGAGTCCCGTGGTCCGGAAGGTGCGTGGTCCCCCAGCTCTGCAGGGAACAGCAGAGTGCCTTGCGGCCGATCTCCCACGGTGCCCAGGGTCTGAGCCAGTGACCCTGACTGCCACAGTGCGTGCTCATTTCCCACTGGCATGCATCCCTTTGAGAGCAGACCTTTAAATGTTTGTTTACTTCTCTCCAAAATGCATTACTTCACCAGATACTCGTGTGTTTGCTTCATTTAAAGGCATTTAACAGGCTGCGTCTCCTGGCAGCTTGTATAATAGGCTCCTTCCTGCCTGGGAGCAACGCACACACACATCACGGAGATTCAAAAGAGCAGTAGACACCCACAGACAGACGGAAAGGTTTGTGTAGTGTATTCCCCTCCCCACCCCCACGTTTGTCAGCAACTGAACAAAACAGTTTTATAAAGTTGAAAACTTTTACTTGTCTGTTTAGGTGTATAAATATCACGGATTTCTGTCCAAGATCTCACATCCCTGTTGGAAGTGGGCTCAGCACAGCTCAATTCCCCCTCCCCTCCCTCAACCACAAAGGGCCACTGGGGGAGACACTGGTGGTTTACTGGTCGTGTTTCGTGGTGAACTTGAAATGCTGCCCTTGGAGCAGAGACTGTTCTATTCGGTGGCCAGGAAAGCAGCACTATCCTGGAGGTGACCACGAGCTTACATTTCACGTCTCAAGGTGTTGGGCTGCTTTCCCAGCATTGCTGAGGTCACTGTCCTGCAAGAGGGAGGCTGGTTTGTCAGAAGACGGGGGTGGTTTTGGGGGTGGTTTGTGTTTGGAGAGTAGGCCCCACTGATTTACTGGGGAGGGACGTTATCTCAACAAGTTTACTTCAGCCAGACTCAAACGTGGAATGGCTGGTTCTGTCTCATGTTCCCTTCAGAGAGGAATTAACCAAGTTATTAATATGCCAAGTTACCTAGGGAAACGTTACAGATGCGAAATGAGTCCTGGAGATCCCTTTTCCTTGGTGCTGGCACTGTTATCTTGAGGTTCTTGTCATCCGCCATCTGTCTGAAGCTGGCTCCCGCTAGCCTGAGCCAAGGTCTTCTCTTTCCTGCGTCAAATTGCCTTTATATGGACGTCACTGATCAAAGCAGCAAATCAGTACTTTGTTTAATTGTCTGTTAACATTCATTTAGAGAAAGGAAAGCTTTTCTTCTTCTTTCCAAAAAACTTAAAGAGGAATGTTAATAAAATTAAAGATAATGTTCCTCTGAGTTCCCAGTATCAGGAGAGTGGTCACTGAAGTCACCAGGAACCACTGGGACCACTCTGCTCTCAAGTACGTCCCAAAGTGCCTTGATGTGGCCCCTGGACTCCCATTCCAGCTGTAATCCACTCGCTGTACCTTTGCAGAAGTGTGGGTTCTGGGTACCAGAGTGCTCATGTGTCGCTAAGTCTACTGTGGGCAAGATGGTATTCGCCTTGCCTGGGGGCTGCATGCTGTGCCTATATCCTAGAGCTGCAGGCCGCGTGTCAGGGCTGTGTGTCAGAGCCCATCCCACTGACTCGGGATGCGACTTCCTCTGGATGCTGAGAAGTCTCTTCCTTCCACTTCTTCATCCCTTCCCGGGCTCAGTATTAAGTTCTCCTGCATACCGGGCCCTGGAGCATAGAGTGGAAGACAGTCCTGCCTTCGAGGAGCATGCAGTCCAGTTGAAGAGGCAGACGTGGGACCAGTAGTTGTGCTGAAGCACTTGTAAATGAGCGGTACCTCAGAGGGAGGCCCGGAGTTCTCCAGAATGCGTCGGAGTGGCGCCTGCCCCGACTCGTTGTGGGGAGAGTGGTCGGAAGGCTTCCACAGGAAGGAGCTTGTACATTGATTATGAAGGATGAGCAGCCAGGAGCCAGGGAAGTAAGGGGCAGGAGAGCAGGTAAGGCAGGAGGAGCACGTACAAAGGTCCAGGGGTGTGAAAGACCATGGTGCGCCCAGGGGCTGCTGTCGTTCCTGTGGCTAGAGCGTGGAGCAGGCAGGAGGGGCTGTGAGGGGATGAGGCTGGAGGGTGGTGGCTCCTAATCCTGAGGCCAGTTTGTCAGGAGTGCGCCTTCCATAACAGCGCTTGAGTACTTCATTCTTTGAACAAATGTTTGAGTGTCTGCCGAGTCCCAGACAGTGAGTGCATCAGGCCATGACCCATTGCTGCCTTCAGGGAGTTTGTGCACTAATGGGGGAGGGCAGCGCGGGGGGGCATGGACAGCCAGCCAGCAGCAGGCCTGCTAAATAAGTGGACGAGGCGACATTGCTGCAGACACGCAGGAGACACGGAGGTTGAGAAAGAGAGGGCAGCGGCGGGTTGGAAAGAGGCTGCAATCTTTAATAGGGTGGGCGAGGAAGGCCTCCTTGAGAAGGCGACACCGACTCAGAGACGTGAGCCTTCATTCTCTTTACAGAATCCTAACACAGTTGGCAACTTCTTTTCTTCCCTTTTTGCAGAGCCATGAGGTGGAACTAGCGCTCTGCTGGTCCAGGAGACCCAGCGCCCAGGGCCTGAGGGTCTTGAGCAGGACTCAGACTTGGGCACCAAGCTCCGAGATCTGACCTGCCTCTTCTCACAGCCTCCTCTTTTACATGGGCCCGAGTGTGGCTCTCACCTGTAGCTAAGGCACTGAACAAATCCCAGTCTGTAGCCACCTGCTGCTGTCCTCCAGCTCGTGGCAAAATGAGAAAAATAGGCTGTTATGGCAGGGTTTTCATAGTCACATGTATTTGATATAAAAAAGATTACAGAGAGATTACATCCGTTTACTTTTTAATGATATAAGTACCCTTTCCTGGATGAGGCGATAATGGTAGCAGAGGGTAGGTTTTTGTTTGTTGACTTGTTTAATGAGCTTATTGATAAAATCAAAAGTCAGCAAATTCACATCAGCCTCCCAAATCATTTTGACCTTGAACTTGTCCACGAAGTCAAAATCCAGACTGCCCAGTCAGCAACCCACCCCCACCTCATTGGGAAGGGCCAGGCCACGGGTGCAGGTTTGTGACCTCCCCCACCGGTTGTCACCCCTGCCTTTCTCGAGTCCTCACTGGTAGGAGCGACACAATGCGGGGACCAGTCCAGCCCCACGTCCGTCACTCACAGCTTACTCGATATCCTCCACCTTAGCAAGGAAAGCAGGAAGTGTTCAAATTTTTAATGAACATTTATTTGTATTTAGTAACCACAGACTCACAAAGGAACAGCAGCTGGCGCCCCCCCCTCCCGTAACTGCACATCTGACTCAAACTGATTCAGATGAAAAGCATCAGAGGCTGTTCCCTGTCAGCGCCCTGGGACCCAGGAGACAGTGGGGGGACAAGCCACCTGGGCCCGAGTGCCTTCTCCTGGAGACGAACCCAGAGGGTGTCCACATTGGAACAAACGTGCTCCCTTCCCTGGAGCGCTGCCCTGTCCCGCCACGGTTATGGGAGCCAAGTTTGACACTCCATGACCGTGGGCCACAAAGCAAATGTCAGCCAGTAATTTGTTGCTGGAAACATGGAGTTGGGGCAGCCCTCAGGGGAGGAAACGAGGAGGTGGCGGTAGGTGTACAGAGGCCACAAGGATTCCACATGACCACAGAGGAGCATTAGCTGGACTCCCTTTGGGGTAATGCGTGTGCCCAGGCGTGATGTCCCTGAATCCTCTGACAACTCTACAAAATGAACCATGTGTTAGAGATGATAGTGTATCTGAAGGGAAAGGCTTCATCCGTTCAGCAGATACCTGTTAAGCCCCTCCTGTGTGCCAGTCTCTCAAGAATGTGCACTTGGAGATGGGGCTGGTTGGCGACTAAACAGACCAATATGTGATGTGGCAGGTGAATCTTACTCAGAAGGAAAGTAAAGCAGGTGATGGTAGAGTGTCTGGTGGGGGCATGGGCGCAGGTGGGGCGCTCGGGGGAGGTATCTGAGGGGAGGCCTGAAGGAAGCACGAGGTGAACCCAGGACACTTGGGAGGCCTTTCCGGGCGGAGGAGCAGTGAGTGCCAAGGCCCAGAGCAGGAGGTGCGGCTTGTTCAAGGGGCCATGCCGATTGAGGGCAGTGGGCACAAGGGGCCAGGAGGTGGCTGGGACCTGGGCGAGCAAGGCCTTGTTTTGTTCTGAGTGTGAGCAGAGGGTGGAGGTTTGGAGACTCTCTGCCGTGAGAGCTGAGGCCGCCCAGGTGAGAGACCTGGCCAGAGGGGACGGGTCGCCTGTCTAAGTGCTAGAATGCTGAGTTGAACCGTTTTCGAAAAGCTGAGACTCCAGCGCGCCTCTATGCCCCGGCCTGTGCACCCATGCCAGACCACTGATTTGTTCTGCACCAACATCCCAGGGATATGCACACATTTGTGTTCTGTGGTCAGAGTAAAGCCGGATAGGTGGCCTGTCAGTTGCGACAGGATCCCGTGGCTGGCAGCAGCCGCCCTCCGAGTGGCCCGCCTCGCCAGCAGGAAGTGCTTAGTGCACAGTCACTTGGGTGTGGCCACACTCTCATGTCACCTTTATTGGCTCTCCCTGAACCAAAGAGTCCAAGACCTAGGAACGAATTCATCTGTTTCAGGGCCCAGCACAAATAGAGCAAAGGGGAAAGTACACAGTGCTTTTCAAAGATGATGCAGACTTCATCTTCGCTGGGAGGGGCCCAGTGGGTGACCCGTCTCAGCAGCACATTATTCCTTCGCAGAGGAAAAGGAGGCTGGACACTGGTTTGCAGGAGGACCTGGGCAGTCATGTAGGCAGCTGGAGACGAGTGCCAGACTGGGGTATCGGCAGTGGGCACAAAGAGGCTCGTCAGGCGCTGGAGACTCACACAGTTAGACTTGGGCACCCATTGGATGGGAGGCAGAGCTGGGGTGGAGAGGGGCAGGACAGGGTAATTTTAACCTAAGCCTGTGGTTTGTGGTTCCCCGGACACAAGCCGAGAGGTCCCTGGCAGGACCTGAATGGAAAGGGGTGCTGCCAGCAGTTAGAGAAGGGGTTGAGTTTGGGGTTCGGATGAGCAGTTAGGTGGAGATGCACGGCCAGCACTTGGAAAGGCCTGCCAGGAACTTGAGGAAAGATGGGACAGGGAGGAGTGGGCTTGGGAGCAGTCCACAAATGTGACAGGAGAGGGCAAGAAGTGTGTGATGTTAAGTGGGAGAGACCTTCGAAGGAGAGAAGGGGGGCACCTGACGAGAGGACCCTGGGGCCCCCCATCTGGAGCCTGGCTTGTCCAGCCGCTGCAGAGACCTTGGCCCCTCAGCAGAGCTCTCCCGGCCTTGGGGCCCTGGGGGAATTCACATAGCAAGCAAGGGTTTTCATAGACCTTGGCTTTCTGCTAGGTACTTTTCAAAAAAAAAAAAAAAAAAGCTGATAAAGTTGAAGTTATTGGAACTATTTGAATAGTGATGAGAAAAGTAGTATAAATCTACATTCCAATTTTGTTTCCCTATGACTTGTAGGATCTCCAGGCACTCATGTTATAGCATTAACTGTCCTAAAAGAGAGATAAATTGTGTTCCTCTCCTAGGACTGAGGCAGTTGGACCTAAAGATCATGTTTACACTCTAACATGAGTGTCATTCCTTTTTAGGGACTAGAAACTAAAATATCTTTGAAAGTTTTGCATTTAGTAAAAAGCATGCTTCAGCTTGTCAGATGTGTCTGCTTTAATGTGCCCAGGATTTAGATGGCTCAGCAAACTGTCCGTCTAATCAAGGGGTGTCTCAGCACGGGTCACAGGACTGACAGGACACAAGAGGCTATAGGGTCTCTTCCTTTCCCGCTATGAGGGTGTCATCCATACTTGTGTCCTTATGAAACCTTCCAGCTGTGTCGCTCATATCTAGCGGTCAGCAGTCACTGCCAGGCATTCCGGTGCATTCCTTGAGGTCCCTTGTAGCCTGTGGCCCCTGATACACAGAGTGCACAGTTTGGTTTAACCTTCCTTCTTCTTGTGGTGACTCAAGCATCCAGCATTCACTTTTAAGTCTCGTGATTTTCTGCAACCATCCTCCAGCCATCAGTAAGTGTTACTGTCCTTCCTCCCTCTCGGCAGGAACTGGTGGTGGCTCTGAGTCATCTTGTAGTTCAATATGAAAGCAATTTCTGCACCGTGGCCTTGCAGTTCATGGAAGAGGAAAAGAACTACCCCTTGCCTTCTCCAGCAACCACAGGTACGGCATCTGAATTTGTGAAGCCTTGAATGGCTCGCCTGGCCGGTTCTGGTAGACCAGGAACCCTGCATCAGAACTATCAGCAGGCCCCTCAGTTTTGCCAGAACCTGGGCTCAGATATCAAGTCCTTGCCACTCAGATATCTGTTTCGAGTGGCCCCTGCAACTCCTGTCTTCCCAGGATTTAGCAGAATAGAAAGGGCAGGAAAAGGGGCCACATAGACCCTCTGACTCTTTCCCTTCCTTTTCACCCTTTTTGGAAATCTCAAAGGATGGCATGACATGTGCAGTAGGGGCTTCCAGAAAAGCACGTTGCCTCTCTTCCTGTGATGAGTAATGTCGGCACGTTGTTGTCGGTTTTGTGTTTCAGTGAGTCACATTAAGCATCTCCTTTTCTCACATTTGTCCTTTTTCCTGGGTTTATATTTCATCATCATCCCTCCCCCCAGAACATAGCCGTCTCTGCAGGAAAGAGGGCTCGTGATCAATAAGGAAAGCATGACTGCTTTTAGTACATCAGGGAAGGGAAACGAAGAGTGAACTTGCTTAATGGGAATAGCCGGTGCTCTGGAGGGGAGCACGGAGCCCACAGATGGGGGTCCTACAGGGCCGACTCTGCTGTGCTTCCAGGATGGCAGCGTGCAGCCGCATCACAGAGCACCTGATGCTGCCCTTGGAGAGGCCACCGTCACCAGCCCTGCTCCGTGTGCTCTTTCTTAGTTGAACTCGCACAGAGTGACCAGCATCTGCTCCCTACACCACCCCCCTACCAGGTCACTTTGTCCAGCTTTGTCTAGCTGACCCTGACCCGCGTGTGTCAGAGATCCTTGCTGAGCTGTAGGCCCTGCTGGTAGCTTCTGCTCGTCCAGGGACTAGCTGCTGTCACCTGTGGTTGTAGCTGCTGTCCTCCCACCTGAAGCCCGCCATTAACTCTTCTTTCTCCTTCTGTCTTACTAGAGGGCGGGAGTTTGACCCCAGTGCGCGACAGCCCCTGCACTCCCAGGCTCCGTTCTGTGAGTTCCTATGGAAACATTCGCGCAGTCACCACTGCTAGAAGCTTGAACAAATCTCTGCAGAATCTGAGCTTGACTGAAGAATGTAAGACACTGGGAATTGGGTTCTTGGGTTGGAACAATTGTGGGGTTTATTTTCTGAAACTTTTTATTTGCACAAGTGCCCCCCCGCCCCTTCTTGACCATGAGTGTGTGCCCTGTCGTCACATCTGCTGACCTAGTGATTAGCAAGTGTTTGTACCAGAGAAGTTGTAGTTCAGCCCCCGGAGCCGCCAGGGGTCACCTGACAGGCTTGCAGAGGCGGCGCAGGCACAGCGAGGCAGTCGGCTCCCGAGGCCCAGCCTGTATGCCTCCCGGCAGCCTGGCGGCGTGCTGGAGAGCGAGGTTGGCTCCAGAGGAGAGTAGTGAGGGGTGCGCGTGAAGCCCACGTTTCATTCATATGCCATTAATTGTGAGACCAAAAGGAGGGTCCTGGGAGCTCCACACTGACTTTCTTTCGCCATGGTGTTGGGCTAGCCGGCAGCTCGGTGGCATTCTCCCCCGGGAACCTGAGCACCAGCAGCAGCGCCAGCAGCACCCTGGGTAGCCCCGAGAACGAGGAGTACATCCTCTCCTTCGAGACCATTGACAAGATGCGCCGCGTCAGCTCCTACTCCTCCCTCAACTCTCTCATAGGTGAGTCCCGCCGCCCTCGCTCTGCTCTCTGCTTCCTGGTCTGTTCTCAGCACCCACGGGTTCTCTCTACCCCTCAGAACAGCGTGGGCCTTAATGTTTGTCAGGTAAACAGACGCCAAGGCTATCTCAGTGGAGAATAAACATTAACTGTAATATGAGGAAGTGAGAGGAATGTTTTGCTCTGGGAAGCAGGAAAGTTTCGGTCAATTTAATTTTGATCTGATGATATTTTTCAAGCCGTTCCAGGGATATCTGGGCTTGCCAGCTTTGTCATGTGGGAAGGCTGCCAGAACCTTCCATCTGTCTTCATGTGTGCTGAACTCCCAGTGCCATAGGACAGTGGTTCTCAGCCGGGGTGATTTTGCCCCAGGAGACACTTTGGTTGTCCCAGCTGGGGCCCTGGGGAGCTGCCAGCATCTAATTGGCAGCATGGCACCCAGCAGCTTGAGCCCCGCCCCTGACCCCCCAGAGAACACAGGTGCCTAAGTGGAGAGCCCTGCTCCAGGAGGAGAGAGGGCTCCTTCCCTCCTCAGGTTTCCCTCTGCCAGACCCCCCCGGCAGGGTCTCCTCTGTGCTTCCACACTTGCCTGTCCCAGTGATTTCACACCCAGCTGCCCAGGAACTGAAATTTGAGTTCAGAGTTAGTTTCGTCTCTCATTCTGCCCTGAGTGGTGACCCCTGGGCTCCACTGCCAGGATTGTTGAGATCAGCAGAGGAAGTAGAAATTCACCGTCTTTGCTCACAGTGTAAATGTCAGTCTTCACATGGCTAGTAACAAATTTAGGCCCTAACTAGACGAGCCTCCTCTGTCTTGTTCTGACCACCCAGAGTGGTTTGCCAGGCCTCATTTGGAGTTTTATTTAATATTAAGAAATATTTCAGACATATGGAAATTTGGAGAGACTAATACGACAACGTGCCTGTATTTGTTTTATTCCCAGCTTCAGGAACTACAGGTGTTGAACCCCCAGGGCCCACCTCCTCACAGTCCTTATACATTCACTCTGTCAGTGAACCCCCCAGAACTCACGGTGGGCCCTTCTGTGGGCTTTAGCTCCACACAGACGGTGTCAATGGTGTCATCTGTGAGGCCGCTCTTTTCTCATTACTCTCAGGTTGATGTTTGGCACGCTGGCCACCCGAGTTTATTCATTCATTCTCATCGTCTGCTGTAATTCAAGTGTCTGTCCTTTCTCCTATTGATGGACAGTAAGGCTGGCTCTCATTTTCCCTTCTTTTGTTCTCCTTTTTCTATATGCAAACTCAGGAGTTGGGCCTGCCTTCACCCCCCACCTCTGGGCTCCCTACCCCTTTGCCTCCAGAGCTCTGCTCCCAGACACTCCTGGGCGGCTCTCGGGTCAATCAGAATTCTGCCCCAATGTCACCTTGAAAGAAGCCTCCCAGCTCCCCACCCATAGTCTAGAACAGTCCTTCCACAGTCTCTGTCTCATTCTCTGCCCCCTTTTCCAGTTTTGTTTTTCTCCTGAGAACTTTTTACCACCGGACTTAATATGTCCTTGTGTATTTGGCCTGGTTGTGTCTCTCTCCCCAGGAATGTAAGAGCCTTGAGTCCAGGAACTTTGTCTTGTCAACTACTGTGTCCTCCCCCAACATCCAGTGCTGGTACATAGTAGGTACTAATAAATATGAGTGGGAGCGTCCTGCAGTGGACAGCCTCCAGCACGGACACACATGTGCGTCTGGCCAATGTCACTGGGAGTGAAACTGTGCACGAAGGGTACATGCGTGTCTGGCCAGTTCACTGGGAGTGAAACTGTGCACGAAGGGTACATGCGTGTCTGGCC